CTTCCCCAGGGTGGGGGCTGGGTTGGATTGAGGCTGTGTGAGGAGAATGTTTGCTGTTTGCTGCTGCTCCCTGTTGACTTTAGCCAGTAGCTCTGTTTACAAACCCAGGTTGGTTTTCCCAGCACAGTTAATTAGAACAAAGACATCTGGTGTGAGGGCTGGGGAGGGCATCTGCGCAGAGTGTTCCCCCCACACCCAGCAGCCGTAGGCCAGCACAGGGCAGATCAGAGCAGCTAAACAGGACCAGACGGAACTCACCAAACCCAAAGTTCTCAGGAGAATCGTGGCTGTTCTCACTCTGCCTTTCCCATGCTTGCTAAGTTAGACTGGGCCCCCACTTTCGAGACTCGGGGGACCCCCCCCCCCAGGAGTCAGGGATAGATGCCCCTACCTCAGTGGGATCACAGGCTGGAGATCAAAGACTCAGTCCTCTCCTCTGCCCTTCCAAGTCCAAAAGAATCAGGCAGAGATTTCTGTCCCTCTCTCATCACAGTGACTGCATTCTGTAGGAATGTCAGACCTCTTCAGCCCCCCTGCAGGAAAATCTCCCCTCCTGGACACCCCCTCAGAGAGGTGTCCTTCTGACACCTCCCTGACTCGTCTCCAGCCAATTTCTGACACTGCCAGGGAAGAAAGAGATTAACCAATCCAGAACCAGAGGGAGGCAGGAAGGTGCCCAGGAAGGTGAGAGGTTCTGGGTGGACAGTTCCAGGGCTGTGGGGATGTGGAGGGCTGGGATGGGGAGGGGCAGCGGCTTATCTCTCCCAGGAGGGGGGAGCTCACTCCAAACAGCTAATGCACTGGCGTGTGAAAGCCCCTCAATTAGCACTAATGATGCAATCAGGGAGGGAGGAGGAGGGACCAGAAGTTCTGGCAGAGTCAGCACCAACCTACACACAGAGCACACACTCCTTTCCTTTCCCCGGACACAGTGGCCCCTTCAGAGACACCAGTGCACACAGTCCACACACAGCCTGGACCACGCACGTCCGTGGGTACAAACGCATTCTTTGCACAAGCTACTAGCATGCATATGGTTCTGGATCCGCTGATGACCGTGTCTGACTGCGGGGATCCCGGGGAGAGGGGTTCGATTGGGGGCTGCAGGGACGAGGAAAATGAGAAACCAGACTGAGGGGTGGAGGTTCAGTAGGGCATCTTCGAACACCTCATGATTGTTCCTCTGATCCCAGAGTTCCCGTCCCACGCAGACTCGCAGGTGCCAGCCTCTCTGCGTCCACCTCTCCACACCCCCACCCCCTTCTCCCAGAGATCCGAGATTAGG